AAATTTTCCCTCTCCCCGTCGGTCCCCCGAGAGGGAGGAGCCGGTTTTGGAATTGAGCTGATGACGATGAATAGTCATCATTGGAAGCTGTTTTCACAAAGGATTGTAAGCAGTTTGCTTTTAAAGAAGAAGTGAGGTTTGAAAGAGGGTGGCAGGCTGAAAATTAAAAATAAAGTGGTTGTAAAATGGAAATTTGTATATTATTTTTTATTATTTTAGAAAACATTTTATTTTTTAAGATTTTATTTATTAATTTGTTTAGAGAGGGGAAGGGAGAAAGAAAGAGAGGGAAGAGAAACGTCAATGTGTGGTTGCCTCTCGTGCGCCCCCTAGTGGGGGCTGGCCTGCAACCCAGGCATGTGCCCTGACTGGGAATCAAACCTGCGACCCTTTGATTTGGTTCTCAGGCTGGCACTCAGCCCCTGAGCCACACCAGCCAGGGCAGAAATTTTTAAAGGAACTTGACAAACTGTTGCTCTGTCCCTCTGGCCTGTTGGTGGTGACACCGCACACGGGTCTGAGAGGACACAGACCACCACTCCCTCCACGGAGTCTCCAAGGTGGGACTTGTGTTTGAAGACATTTAAATCCCGCACACCGCACGACGACTCTCTCCCTTTCATTCTTTTAAACCCTTGCTTATGAGCATTAAGGAATTGATTATCTTAATCCTCCAAAGACAGCAAGCAAGGACAAAATAAACGTGAGCCCTGTAAAAAGTATGTGCTGTGTGGAAGGGAAGCGTTGAGCATTTCGACCATAAACCCTTGGAAAATACCCTAGACATATATTTGGGACATTTACTTAAATCTAGTCTTTCACCACACACAAAAAAAAGACTTTTATTACTATTCAGGAAAAATTTTAAAGGTTCAGTGACATTTTGAATTTTCAACACACGAAATTCAGCACTCCAAACCAGTTCCACCTTTTCCATCAAATCGGCTCAATAGGGAACATATGGGCATCATTCGCGTGCGTCCAACCCAGCGCTCAGGCCCGGGCATCGAGTTCTTCCCAACAAGAGCGCAGGCGCCCACGACGCGCGTGCAGGGACCCAGATGTGGCCTTGGCTCCGGAACAGTCTGGGTCAGAAGCTTGTGTTTTTCCAGCCTCTACCATCCGGAAGCCCGAGTTTGGGTCGTTCGAGTGCATCCCCCTGACGATGCACGTGGGCTCCGGAAACGGGGACAGGTTTCAATCTCGCCGCTGGAGAAGCGTTTCACCCAGAGGCGTCAGAAGTGCAGCGTCCTTCCCGGCACAGGCGCCGCCGGGTGGGGGTGGGGGGCTGCTGAGTGCGCAGCCGCGGCAGCGGGCTGGGGTGCAGACTTAATCACACACTCACCCATCCCACGTGCGCGAACTGCTCCGCAGGTGGATCCGCTTTCTCGCGGCGCCCTGACCCTCGGGCGAACTGCCCTCCGCCGCTGCAGGCACGGCCGGCCGCCGCAGAGGGCGCTGCTCCGGGAACCGGTTCGGGCCGGGCGCTCCGCGTCCTGGCGTCTGCGCGCCCACAGACAGAAGCCTTGTTTCTGATGAGCGCGCACTGCTCCGCCAGGGTTCACGTCGTTGCTCCGCCCCAGGCGTCCGGGCCTGCCTGTCCGTCCTGGATGAGTGGGACGGCTGCTGCGTTTGGCCCGGAGAGGCCTGACCGGCGTGAGCTCCGGGACCAGTGTCCGAGGCTGCGGTCCGGCAGGCACCGACGAACGCCGGCACAGACGCTTTGTTCCTGGGCTTTCCACAGCCACATTCTGAGACTGCATTTCTGAGAAAACTTGGAGTATACGTTTTAACAGCATAACAGTCCCCAAAGGCACAGCACCAAGGCGCAGTGTTTTCCATCTTGTAACTAACTTCTAGGCGCCTCTTTTTCTGTTGTTACTGCTTTGTTCTTTAAGAACTTTTATTTTTGCTTCACCATGGATTTGTATTGTTGGATTTTGGGGTCTATCACTGTTATAGTATTAAACGAATGCTGTATTTGCTTATGTTTCATGGCTTGAAATATTAGCCGTTGTGGTTTCAGAGTGTAAAACATTTGATGTTTGCGTGGGTGGGCGTTGTATATAGCTCGCGCTTCCCAAGTTGAGCCCGAGGGAACCAGGCCGCCTGCCGGCACAGCTGCGCCCCCTGCGTTGGCGTCTGGATCTGCACGTTCGATGTGGGCGTGGTGGGTTCACCGTGGCCCCAGCACCCCGCCGTCGCAGCAAGGCTGTTAAAAGGTGCTTTCATGTCAATATTACACTCAAGCTTTTTCAAGTTCTGCACGCTACAATAAAAAATGATATAGGGCTAAAACCTTACTTTCTATGTATAATTTTATACAAAAGGAATTAAATACACATATAGAAAAACTGAATAATTTAATGGCGTTTTAAATTATATTTTGTGTATAGTGCAATTCCATGTAAAACCTTAAGAGGATTCACATGTTTACCTACTGTCGTCCTGGCACTGTAAAGTAACTGAACAAGCACCCCGTTTCTGTGAGTGCCGTTCCCCCTGAAACGGGGCTTGTGGGCGGGCAGCATGTGGGCTGGAGAACCCTTGGCACTAACTTCAGGGGAGATGGGCAGGCCTTCGGACCATCCGGCTCCTGGGGGGCTGCTGACCTCCAACCAAAATTGTCTGACCAGACTGGGGTGGCTCGTGGGGAGATCCCTCAGCAGAGGGCTCCCACGCCGCCAGCCTCCCACCTGGGACCCTTCGCTCTGCTTCCCCACTCCGTCCTTGTTGGAGCCTCTGCTGTGGGGAGACGCCGCCATGCCCTCTGGGGTGAGCGAGCCCCTCCTCCCGGGCGTCCGGCCTGGGAACAAACCGCCCTCCCTTTCCACCGGCACCTGCCCCAGGGTTTGGTTTGCGCGGCGGCTGCGGCCAGCCTGGGTTCCGCCGCACACTCACTTCCGGGGCTCTGCCCTCATTGGTTTGAGCAAAAATACTTCACCAACTGCCAAACTAACCTTCTTGTTTCTTTGGAAAAATATTTAAACATATGAAAATGGAGAACTGGATTTTTAGCAACTTTTCATTTGTATTTTTCACTTGTTTCACTTACATTGAAATCCCTTCAAATTATCAGTTGCTAAATTATGATGTAATGAGTCATGTATGGGAAATAAATGTCACCTCCCCCAACTAAATGAATGTCATTTGCTTCATCAGGTAAGTGCTATGTTTAATCTTGTTGTGGCTTTCATTATTTTACCAATACGTTCAATGATTTCAGTTCTTTTCCCTTCCTTATCTCAATTGATACAAAGACCCCTGCGGCAGAACTAGCCTCTGGGACAATTAGTCAGCGTCAGTGTGCCTGATGGTAGGTCCAGGCCACCCTTCCAACTCCTCCTGGTGTCCTCGGCAATGGTGGGAAAAGCAGCCCCTTCCAGAACGTGCCAGCTGAGCACAGGCAGCCTGGCCTCCACACATGGCCTCTTCTTCTCCTGTCCCCTTGGCCTCTCAGATGCCGCCTACAGCCCTGTCCCCCCCCTCCCCCACCATAACCCGGGGCTGCGTCTCCTGGAGCTTCTGGAGCCAGGGACCCACTGGCCAGGTGGCCGAAGGCCCTGCTCTGCTGTGGCCCCAGGGAGTGGCTTGCTTCTGTGCGGCCCTGTTCTCCTGAGCCAGTTGCCTATAGGCTTTGGGAGACCAGCCCGGGTGCGATCTGTCCCACACCCCCATGGCCCCCATTTTCCCGGGCACACACAGGGTATCTGTCACTGCTTTGCTTTTGGGGGCTTTCCCGCCGATCCCTGGCTTCCAGAGACTTGGGGTGGATCTCTCCATCTCCGCCTTTAAAATCAGCGTAAACGTGGCCAGGAGACAAGGCACTGAGCACCCTCGCTGGGACGGTGGCTGGGGCTGCGGGACACTTGTGAAACCTGCCTCTGCGGCTCTGAGCTTTGAAACGGCCCAGCGACCCTGGACCCAGCACGGTCGGGTTCCTTGGGCTCCGGCTGTGAAACGTTCCTCGAAGAAGCTGAACCACAAAGGCAACCAGGAAGGAGAGGTGAGGTGGCGAGTGAGTGTCACATGGTGAGGAATAAGGTGCTACAAACAAGATGGAGGTATTTATTCTCAGCTTTTGGGAGGGAGAGAGCTCGAAAGAGATGCCCACGCTGCACTCCGGGGAGAAGTAAGTTTCAGTTCTGCAAACTCTGCCAGGGGCCGGCCCAGCTGCGTGCTTCCGAGCCCGTGTCCCTGTAGCGTGCATGCGCGCACACACACGTGTGCATTTATCTGTGTGCAGCTGTGTCTTCTGTACATAGAATACTACACACGGGACATATAACACATAGATAACTCGTGTGTTCTCCTGATGACTGGACTTGGGAATGACAATCGCTCTTCCCGAGAAGTCTGGGGCAGACACGAGTCGCATGCATCTTCCTGAGTCTGCAGGTGAGACCGACTTGTTGAGCTGCGTCACGGAGTAAAAGGACACAGTAACTATGGGGACAAAACTTTCTCCACGGACAGCCACTTAGCTGTCGTTCCCCGTCACACGGTGCATCCCCGCTTTCCTTTTCCCGTCAGTGTCCTCCTCTGCAGAGCGGGAAGGGGACAGGTCTGGGGCTTTAGACTGAATTGTCCACGCAGCCTGTCCTCAAACACCGAGACTTGGGGTAGTGCCTACACCCCCAGCAACTCTCGTGATCGCCCCATTTGTCACCCAGTTTTCTGAGCCCGGAGGCTCTCGCGAGACTCCCGCCGGAAGTGGGTGGCTGCGGGCCGCAGCGAGGCACCTGACCGGAAGGCGAGCGGTGCTGCGGGGCTGTTGCAGCCCTGAGCTCCCCCCGCTCCCCTGCCAGACGCAGCTCGGCCCGCGTGGCCTCGCTTTCGGCTCCCCCCAGCGGCGCACGCCCGCCTCGCCCAGCCCGCGGAGGCCCCGCCCCACCAGCCGCCCCTCCGTCTGCGCTGCGGTTCGGCCGCGCCCCGAGGCCCCGCGCCCCCAGGCCCCCGCGCCCCAGCCTGCGAGGACTCCGCGGGCGGCCCACGCGAGCACAGCCATGAAGAAGAAGGTGCTGCTGATGGGGAAGAGTGGGTCGGGGAAGACCAGCATGCGGTCGGTCATCTTCGAGAACCGCATGGCTCGCGACACCTGGCGCCTGGGCGCCACCGTGGACGTGGAGCACTCGCACGTGCGGTTTCCGGGTGGCCTGGTGCTGAACCTGTGGGACTGCGGCGGGTGGCACGCCTTGCCGGAGAGGTGCTCCGCCGGCCGGCGCGGCGGCTTCTTCCGGGACGTGGCGGCGCTGGTGTACGTGTTCGACGTGGGGAGCCGCGACCTGGAGGAGGACGCGCACCTCTACCAGTCGTGCCTGGAGGCCATCCTGCAGAGCTCCCCCGCGGCCGGCATCTTCTGCCTGTTGCACAAGATGGACCTGGTGCAGGAGGACCAGCGCGACCTGGTTTTCGCCGAGCGCGAGGAGGACCTGCGGCGCTTTGTCTCGCCCGCTGGAGTGCGCGTGCTTCCGCACGTCCATCTGGGACGAAACCCTCTACCGAGCCTGGTCCAGTGTGGTCTGCCGGCTGCTTCCCAACGCCCGGCAGCTGGAGGCGAGCCTGAGCGGTTTTGCCCGCATCATCGAGGCCGAGGAGGTGCTGCTGTTCGAGAGCGCCACGTTCCTGGCCATCGCCCACTACCAGCGCGGAGAGCGGCGCGAGGCCAGCGGGGCGGAGATCAGCAACATCATGAGGCATTTCAGGCTGAGCTGCCAGAAGCTGGCCGCTGCTTTCCAGAGCATGGAAGTGAGGAACTCCCACTTCGCCGCTTTCCTCCGCGCCTTCACGTCCAACACCTGCGTGATGGTGGTGATGTCGGACCCGTCCATCCCGTCGGCGGTGACGCTGATCAACATCCGCAATGCCGGGAGGCACTTCGAGAAGCTGGATAGGCCGGAGCTTCCCGAGCGCAGCCTCCTTGCGCGCTGAGATCGCTGGATGCTTTTGGAACACGCTGGACAGCCTTTTCCACGCCCCGCCCCCATGCTTTTGGTGTTCACTACTGTCACGTGCTTACGAGTGGGCTTTGGTGGGTGTGCTGCTCACTGCCTCCCCCACTCCTCCACCCCCGCCCCGGGTTCCCTGTCTCTGAAACCGTGGACGCCGTTTACTTGGCTCTCCAGGAAGCTTGGAGCCGCCTTCCTGAGAAGCTGGTGTGTGCGCGCACGTGCGCGTCCTCGTTACCTGGTCGTGACCGACGCACACCAGCGCCCGCGCCCGCCGTCCAGTGTCCCTTAAGGACTGCAGAGAGGGAGCCTTGCTGTCTTGTCAGCGCGGCATTAAGGTGCATTTATAAATTCTTGGCTTCAATCATGAATAAACATTTGCTGTTAAAAAGTATTTGTCTAATATTTAATAATAGAAAACTATCTGATAATAGGAAGTATTAAAAAGGAAATTTAGTTTTGTGCCTTCATTTGTGACAGATTCTTGAAACAAATAATTTTCCAGGTCCTACTCTTGGTCCTGCCCCCTCTGTGTCTCCCTGGTCCCCCCCCAGCCCCTGTGGGAACATCCTCGGTCGCTCCATGAGCTCCTCCCGTGTCTCAGTGTTGTTTCCCCTGGTTTTTCATCAAAGACCCGACACGGTGTCCCCGAGGGCCGCAGGCACGGACAGCAGCCCGGACGGCGGAGGCCGTCACGTGGAGCCTGCGCCGTCGTTTGGGGAGGCAGGCCGAGGACGAAAGAGCTCACCTACCTGGCAGCACCTGCGTGGGGCACGGGCGGGTCCCAGAGGGGGCAGAGGGAACAGGTGGCTCCTTGGGGGACGCGAGGGGCTGCTGGGGACCATGAGCCAGGAGGAGGGGTGGAGAGAGCGAGCGCCGGGCGGCCCTGGGGGACACGCGCAGAGGCTGCCAGGGCTGGGGCTCTCGGACGGGCTGCAGTGTGACCGGTGCGCAGGCGCAGGCAACGTGTGGGCGACGCAGGTTTGTGCGACAAAGACCGGGGTCGTGGGTTCCGACTGCGCACGTGAACTCGCCCTTGTGAATGGGGAACCTGTTTTCCCAGAAAGGGCAACGGCCCCGGTGGCTCTAATGTCAGCCTGGCTCCCCCTCCCAGCGTGACCCAGAGAAAGTCCCAGCCCTGGGTGTGGCCTGTTGGGCACAAAACTAAGCAAAGCAACCAACTTATCTGGCTTGGCTACGATGCACCCTGCTGATCTGGACCTGCTGAGCCCCATGGGCACGGATCCCATGCCACCTTGGTTGGGGGGGGCACCTTCACAGAGCACGTCGGGGTTTCACATTGTCCTGGGGGTCTGGGGACATTTGGTGGGTTTGGAGGTGTGTTTCACCTTGGAAAGGCCATCCCTCAGGAGTCTGGAGTGCGGCTCAGACGTGAGCGCTCCCGCCCAGAGCTGGTGGCAGAACCCCACAGGCAGACCGTGAGGCTGCAGGTGACAGGGGACCTGAGGTCAGGACTTCCGGTAGGATGGGGAGGCTCTCACATGCCCCGCCCCCCCCCCCCCCAGTTCCTGCCTACTCTGCTCCTGTGGGGGAGGGCGCCTGGCCAGTAATTGTCCCTGGGCAGTGGGCTGGGGACAGTCCCCGCTTCTCCCTGTGTAGCGGCCCAGCTCCCATCACATGCTCCGTGGGGACCGGGACCCCCCCCCCCGTAGTCCTGGTGCTGTTTCCCAGCCCTGCGGGTCACTCTCTCGGGGCAGCCCGTGTCACCCGGCCGGTGGGCAGTGTCATCATCTGGGGCCGGGTGCTGGGTGTCTGGCTGCCCCTGAAACCGTGGGCAGGACCCGCCCTCTCAGCGGGGTGTGGGGGGCGGGGAGGAGTGGGAGACGAGGCAGGAGCCCGGGCCGTCCAAGGCACTGTGGGCGGTGGGTGTGAGAGACACACCCAGCGTGAGCTCAGGATGTGAGGGCCCGTGGGAGCTCCACGGATTAGGTGTTAGAAGAGTGTTTTGGATACATTGTGTTCAGTAAAGTACTAAGATAAATTTCACCTTTTTATCGCTTTCTAACGTGGTGACTAGAAAACTTAATTGCACTTGAGACTCACGTGGTCTCTCGGACGCCGTGGGCTCGTGGAGACGGGCAGGAGCAGCTGCGTGGCCGGTGCTGGGACAGGGGTTCCCGGAAGGACCGAGTGCTGGGCCCGGGGGCAGTTTCCGGACAGAAAGGGGGCTCGGGGGAAAGCAGGGCCTCCGCGGGCCTGAGGCCAGTTCCACTGAGGACACGCTCGGTGTCGGCGTCAGCAGGCGTCCCGACCGGGCTGAGCAGGACGGCAGGTGACACGTGCATAGTGGATGGCGGGATGCGGGGCTGCAGATGCGGGCTGGGAAGTCCGGAGCACCCTGAGCAAAACACGCGGCGAGTAGGGCGGGGGGCGGAGCAAACGGGGAAGGGGCGGACTCGCAGGGGAGCTGGCGCAGGCCAACACAGTTCGACACAGTTCGGTGACTTCTACGGAGCGCCCGTGCCAGGGTTCGGTGCTCTGTGAGCTTCTAGACACAGGAGGACCAGTCAGAATTGAGTGGGAATTATTTACATAAATGTGTTACTTCAGGCCTGAAACACTGTGCATTTGCAACGATAAATGCAAGGAAAATATCTGATATATAGGTAAATAAAAACTACACTGACGTGTAATCAGATGTTTCACCTGTGGAAAGACCGCCCTGCGAGCAGGTGGAGCTAGAGGGAGAGACTTGTGGTGATGCCGGAGACGTGCCCTTGGGGCCCTCCTCACAAACGCAGGGTCTTTGAGAACTGGTTCGCCGTCACAGACGCGGGCTCATCACATTTGGTGACTTCCTCCGGCTCGACGCAGTTGTGGCTCTAGCCTGACCGTCCCCGTGGGGCCGGCTGGGCTGGGGGGGCGCTGGAGAGAGAGCCACGAAGAGAAGCGATGCGGGTGGCAGCCTGTGACGGCCCGGCGGAGACGCAGACGGAGGACGGGGGCGGACTCCCCAGTGGGGTGGACAGCGGCGCTGCCTGCTGGGGGTCAGACGGCGGCCAGGAGCTCGAAATTCACTCTCGGGTCGTGATGGGAAGACGGCTTCCCGTTTGGACCAAATACCATCAGCTGCAGGTTTAAGGTCCACGGGTTTTATTATTAAAGGGAGCAGGAGACATGCTCGTGTGTGGTGGAAGGAGAGCGAGCGGTTTGAACGCCACACAGCGCTTCTGCGACAGACCGGTCCCCGCACGGCCGCGTCAGGCGCTGGGCGGAGTCGTTCAGACGCGGCCGCGGCTCCGGCTGCCGGTGGCTGGAAGAGCGCGGACACGGTGCCTCTGGAAGTCCCCCTGCGCCGCGGCCACACGGCTGGGGAGAGGCGGCGCTGGGTGGGCGGCTCCTGGTGACCCTCGCTGTGCCCTTGGGACTCGGGAAGCGGGCACACGGTGGGCAAAGGTGGAGGGGAGGAAAAAACTCATCTGCCCGACAAAACCTTGGACCTAGAGGGAAGCAGCATCGCTCCGGTGGCCAGGCCGACAATGGCCGCCACCTAATGGGGGCGGCGACCGCGGCTGGCTCCTTCTGCCCCCCAGGCAGCGCCTGCTCGCGGGTGTGAAGGCAAGTAGGTGCTGCGGGGCTGTGCCGCGCTGCGCCCTGCGGTCGGACACGCCCTGAAACCCTGCCTGGTTTCAGAAGACGTCAATCAGGCCAAAGTCAGGAAGTGTGTACAACGAGTTACATTTTAAAAAGTCTGGCAGTGAATACACTGCGAGTTAGGTGAATGCTGCTTCCTATGAAAACACCTCCTTCCATCTGTAAATATATCTGATATCCCATTTGGAAAAAAAATTCTAGTTCTGGAAAGAAGGGCATTAGAAGACAACCCGGGGACACGAGAGACCAAACAGACGCACCGTCCGAGCGCCAAGCACACAGTTCCCGGGACCTCAGCGCTTCCCGGGACGCGGCCAAGGCCGCCGTCAGCCCGGGGACAAGGCCGGGGCCAGCCGTCCCCACAGACGGAGGGACAGCCAGGGAGGTGGGTGGTCTGCATCTGTCGTGCCCAAGGAAAACCTTACAGTATTTTTTTTTTTTAAGTTTGAGAGCCTCTAGACGCAGCGGGGAAGAGTAGGGAAGGAAAATCTTAATGACGTCTGAAATAAGACAGAAATTCTTGCTTCTTTTACATCGATTTTATTTACTTGCTTAAAAAGACAAAAATAAACAAAAATAAGATCTCCAGTTTCCTTTAAAGACATTGAATTATGTCAAGCATAATTTCTCAGATCCCTGGGAGAAGCGGGGTCCCCTCGAGCCCGCGGAACGCCCCCTCCGGAGGGAGGGGGGTGGGCCGGCCGCAGCGCCGCCGGGCGGACGTTCTGCCTCGAGCGTCCCTGAAAACGTCCACGGGCTTTCTGCGTCCTCACCGACAACGCAGGACGGGAACCCCACCCCCGTGGCTGCGGCCCCGGCGGGAGGGCCCTGGCGACCCCAGGGCAGGAGGGGCCGGCCTCTCTGGAAAGTCACCTTCCGGTGCCACGGCTGAGAGCAGGGTTAGCTGAGAACGGGTGATGTTGAAGAGGTAAGTTTGGATTACATATTTGTGTGTGTGTGTATATATATTTCTTTTAAATAGGCATTAAAACATCGTCTTCGGGGAGCGCCCCCCGCATGGCGCACGCAGGAGCCCCGAGGCCCCGCAGCCCCCAGGGGCCCGTGAACGCGGTGGCACTCCCGCCCCTGGCCTGTCTGTCACGTCTCTTTCTCCCGGGGACGGTGACGGAACGCCCAGGCGTGCGCACGGTCGGGGCGGGGCGGTGGCAGGGTGGCGGCTCGGACTGCAGTCTGCACCCCTGCCGCTTTGCCCAGGCCTGGGGGCGATGCTGCTGGAACCGCGGCGCACCGAGGACGCACGCTGCGGGTCAGCCCGCTCCGCCGGTGACGGGGAGTCACTCCTCTCCCGGCGTGGGGGGACTGACCGGCCCCGGGGGGCGACAGCGTCCTGCTTCCCCGGGCGTGGGC